GACAGGTTTAAGCTGTTTACAAACAAATAAATTGATTCATTGAAATGAATAAACCAGTGAAAGAAAAACAGGAAAATGTAAAATTAGAAAAAAAATACTGAGAATCTGTCATGGTCCTGGGCCATGTTGGCCCAGTGTTCTTAGTTTTCTTGTATGTTTGTATTTTGTTCCTTGCTTAGGCCATGTTTTCTGAGTTGCCCTGTTGTGTTGTTCCCTAAGTGTTTTCCCTTCATGGCTTTTACCCCCTGTGTGCCCCTCTGTGTATCTGTGAGCCCTCGTCTCTCCTTATGTTTTATTCCATGTTTCCCCTGCCCATTATGTCCAAGTTCTCCCCGTGCTCTCTCTCCCCCCCCCCCTGTGTGCCCTGTGTATTTATGAGCCCTCGTCTCTCCTTTGTGGTTGTTTCATGTTTCCCCAGCCCGTTATGTCTGTGTTTTCCCCGTGCTCTCTCTCCTCCTGTCTGAACCTCTGTGCACTTCCTGTTTACCTTGTGACTCTCACGCCCGTACATGTCATGTTCAGTTCACCCCGCCCTGTCTCGTTATGATTATCAGTGTCACCTGTGTTCCCCGTGTGTTCCCACTTTCCTCGTTAACCCTCTGTGTATTTCTGTCTGCGTCTCCCTCTGTTCAGCGTGACGTCGTCCCTCATGCTGTGTGTGATTCCCCCGTGTTTCCTGGTGAGCTTTATGTTAGTTTTTCCCAGTTTAGTTTTGTATCTCCTATTATCTTTGGTCAGCAATAAAGCTGCTTTTTGAGTTCATCCCCGTGTGTGTGAGTTTTGCATTTTGGGTCCTCCTCCTGCCTGCCACACAGCCGAGCCTTGACAGAATCATTTTGAGAATAACTCAACAGGCTAAAAAGGAATTGTTTTTAAAATAATCTGTATTCATATGTATTATGCTGATAACAACATTGATATTCATAAACAATGTTGGTATTTGTAAAAAAAATATTATACTTACTAATCATGTAAATTTCCTGCAGCTGTCATAGACGCCCCCATTGCCGTCCATAAAAAATTACCCAGTCCAAATGTTGTCATGGCTGGATATTCAAATTGTGGACCTAGTTTGGACGTCATATAGATGTCCAGAAATGGTCATGGACTGATGGACCCAGTATAGACATGATCGGCACCTGTATCCAACCCCCAATTTTTAGTGGGATTTTTTTTGTGTTGCTTCAGTTTTTGTGTTTGGTTCAGTGATATTATTTGGTTCAGCTGCATGCAGCTTTTATTTGGACACTATCCAGGCTTAAATGGGGCCTTAATAATTTTAGTGTGTGTGTGTGTGTGTGTGTGTGTGTGTGTGTGTGTGTGTGTGTGTGTGTGTGTGTGTGTGTGTGTGTGTGTGTACCTGTTTGAGGAGTGGTTAACCTTCTAAACTCTTCCTTTGTGGCTGGATGTGTAGTTTTCAAAATGTTTTTTTCCCCTTTCCTAAAAATAAGCTTAAACCTTTGAATTGTGGAATCACACCTCATCTTAGTGCACCTTACTGATGCTTTTACTCATTTCCTTGGGTGACATTTCCAAGGTGGTGATGTTGACAACTTTTGGTCAAAGGAGCTTGCAAAGAAAAGCGTCTGGACTTCTTTAAGTTGCTTGAAGACGTTTCACCTCTCATCCGAGAAGCTTCTTCAGTTCTAAGGTCAAATGGTGGAGAGTCCCAGATATAAACCTAGTGGGAGTGATCCCCCACAGAGGGACAAAAGGACCCCCTGATGATCCTCTAATCACCTGAGCCAAGGTGTGAAATTGGGTGTGGGACCCAATCAGCCAGAGTTTCGGGTGTGTTCATTGTGAAACCTGGCCCCACCTTGTCATGCGAATTCCTGAGGTCAGATGGCCCAGGATGTGAGTGGGCGTTAAGGCGTCTGGGAAGGATCTCAAAACTGGATTATAGATGGCAGAGAGTTGGTGTCGTAAACCCCCGCCTCTGTTCAAAGATGGTCGCTCACAGTGGACATAGATGGCTTCTTTCACTCCTCTTTCAAACCATCTGTCCTCTCTGTCCAAAATGTGAACATTGGCATCCTCGAAAGAGTGTCCTTTATCCTTAAGATGCAGATGGACTGCTGAGTCTTGTCCTGTGGAGGTGGCTCTTCTGTGTTGTGCCATGCGCTTGTGAAGTGACTGTTTGGTCTCTCCAATGTAGAGGTCTGGGCATTCCTCGCTGCACTGTACAGCATACACCACGTTGTTAAGTTTGTGTTTTGGCGTTTTGTCTTTCGGGTGAACCAGTTTCTGTCTGAGTGTGTTGCTGGGTCTGAAATTCACTGGGATGTCATGCTTGGAGAAAACTCTCCTGAGTTTTTCTGATACACCAGCTACATAGGGGATGACAATGTTGTTGCGTCTGTCCTTCTTATCCTCCTTCGCTGGTGTCTGGTCTTGTTTTCTGTGCCTCTTTGCTGACTTTAAAAACGCCCATTTAGGATAGCCGCACGTTTTGAGTGCTTCCTTTACATGTGTGTGTTCCTTCTTTTTTCCTTCAGGTTGAGAGGGAACATGTTCTGCCCGGTGGTGTAGGGTCCTAATTACTCCAAGTTTGTGTTCCAGAGGGTGATGGGAGTCAAAGAGGAGGTACTGGTCCGTGTGTGTGGGCTTCCGGTAAATTTCGATGTTGAGTTTGCCGTTCTCTTCAATGTGCACGGCGCAGTCCAGGAAAGGCAAACAGTTGTCCTTTGTGTCTTCCCTGGTGAACTTGATGTTTTTATCCACAGCGTTAATGTGCGCAGTGAAGGATTCCACTTCTTGTGTCTTGATTTTGACCCAGGTGTCGTCCACATATCTGTACCAGTGGCTGGGTACTCTTCCTTTGAAAGAGCCAAGAGCCTTCCTTTCCACTTCCTCCATGTAAAGGTTGGCTACAATAGGTGACACGGGGGAGCCCATGGCACAGCCATGTTTTTGTCTGTAAAAGCCTTTGTTGTACTTGAAATATGTAGTGGTGAGGCAGAGGTCTAACAGTGTGCAGATCTGATCGGGTGTGAAGTTGGTCCTGTCCTCCAAGGAGCTGTCTTCTTGTAATCGTTTTCTGACGGTCTCCACGGCCTCCGTGGTGGGTATGCAAGTGAAGAGAGAGACTACATCAAAGGACACCATGGTTTCATCTGGATCCAGGGTAATTTTCTGAACCTTTTCGGTGAAGTCGGAAGTGGCTCTTCTGTGTTGTGCCATGCGCTTGTGAAGTGGCTGTTTGGTCTCTCCAATGTAGAGGTCTGAGCATTCCTCGCTGCACTGTACAGCATAAACCACGTTGTTAAGTTTGTGTTTTGACGTTTTGTCTTTCGGGTGAACCAGTTTCTGTCTGAGTGTGTTGCTGGGTCTGAAATTCACTGGGATGTCATGCTTGGAGAAAACTGACAACTTTTGGCTGCCCAAAAAGATGGGGGGGAATAGTGAGTGTCACGGGCAAACCATTAAAACTATTTAAGAAAGGCTGGTGACCCCTGTTATAGAGTCTGACAGCTGCAGGGATTATATACAAATATTCAACTATACCAGAATTAAACTAGGTCTAAAGAAAAAAAAAAGGAGTGAGTATCACTACAAAGATTAACCCACAGTGGTCCTCATACCACAGTTTGATATCAGCAAACACCGAGAGCATACACTGATATGACACCACAGCCATGCTATCAATGCAAACACTGATAACATAGCGTAAATCGAATTAAATCGGAACTTGATGAGACCTTTTGAGTAGGGCTGGGCGATATGGCCTAAAATCCATATCGCGATATAATTTGAAGCATGTGCAGTAACGATATATATCACGATATATATTCTTTTCCTCTGTATAACGTATTTCCACACAAAAAATCCTTTAATTTTCTCCAAAATCGAGAGTGTGCCGTATGTATGAATTCTGGTTGTGCTTACTGACCTCGAACCGATTTCTGCGTGCAGAAATCTGTTAAAAAATGTTTTAGTACAACGTTGGTAATCCGCACTGCTTGATGGATTGTCAGAGCATTACGGCTGCCGTAGTGAGGAGCTTCACGGAGTAATCTGGGTCCAAAACTCCGTTCATATCAGGTCCCAAAGTCAAACGAACACTAAGAGTTAAAAACGGTCTAAATTCTTTCATCTTTAATTAAATCACCTGCGTTGCTGATTTATCAGGTGTTACAATTAAGTTTAACATCCATGAAAACAGAATTTATTAAATTTAACAGAGTTAGAAGTTAACAGGAAGTTAGCTCGCTAGTTTACACCTAAACATTTCATACCATGTTCTGACAGAGACTTTCATCCAGAGGCTTCCTCATTGAGATCAGATTTACGGTTTTCTCACAAATGCCATCAAAGCGCAGCCTCCTCCCTCTCTGTCCCCCATAGATAACCATTCTAAAACTGCTCTCAATTTTCAGCTCAAATTTAACATCGAAGGGTGTCTTTACACTGTCACCACATCAGTATAATACACTCTACAGGCATGAAAATTTAATATGTTGTAGTCTGGAAGTTCCTGCCACTCACAGTTTTCTCTTGGGAAGCATTTGTTTCAGAGCCTAATTCCTGTTTGCCTTTCTCTGTGTCTGACCCCAACTGTGGTGTGTGTGCGTCCCATCCCCCCCTGCCACTCACAGAAGTTACTATAGCAACCAGCCCTGTCAGCTGAGTACTGATGACTCTCTAATTAAACCTAAAAAAAACCCCCAAAAAAAACAAACATCCCCATTCTGTCATGTGACAATCTGATTGATCTGATTGGCTTACGGAGTGATGATGTCACAAGCACATCTTTAATGTGCTTGTGACATCATCACTTTTGAAGTTCTGAAGTCCATAAATAGGGAACAGCAGCAATTCTAAAGCAGTTTGTTCGCAGCCTTCAAACGTTCGACAACAGATACATTTGGAAATATTTCTAAGCCTTTTCAGAGTCACTGTGCACAGGCTCCAATATGCGTCCACGAAAACGCAGACAAAGAAAAAAAGATAATGCTGCCTCTCCTTCGTGGTCTGGCCAGCCAATCTCTCCAGGAGAAATGACCATGGATGCTGTCTTATCAGTCCAAAGGGCATTACAGGAAAGTCAGAAGGAAAACTCTGACCTCCATTACAAAGTTAAACAAATTGAAGAAGAGAAGCTTCAACTAGAGGAGAAGTGCAGACAATTGGAAGCACGAAATAAAGACCTGGAAGGAAAACAGCAACGCCAGCCTGATATAAAAATGATAAATGAGGGCTGGGGAATGAAGTTTGCTCAAGGACGAAAGAAGTTTTTCTCCCGTTTTCTTTCGTCGGGACAGAGTGCTGAATTAAAAGAAACATCTGCCCAGCTTCAAGGAAAGAAAGCTACTATTGAGGAGATACAATGGGATCTCCAAAACATGGAGCAAAAGAATCAGGTGCTTCAAGGAAAACTCAATGAAGCTGAGAAAACAATTGAAAAAATCCGCCAACAGGAAGAAGAAAAACGTATTCTCCAGGACTTAGAGAGAAGGAATCTAGAACTGCGAGAACTTTGTAATGAAATGAAGGACAAAAAATCTGAACTGGAAAGAGAAAAGGAAATACAAATGCAGCACAAACTCAAAGCCATGAGGGAAATGTACGTAGATCTGACAGTGAGGTTTGATGAAACAGAGTGCAAAAATAAAGAGCTTCTTGAAGAAAAAAAGCAACAGGAAGAAGAAAAACGTATTCTCCGGAAGTTTGAGAGAAGGCATCTAAAACTGCAAGAATTTTGTAATGAAATGAAGGACAAAACACCTGAACTGGAAAGAGAAAAAGAAACACCAATGGAGCACAAACTCAAAGCCATGAGGGAAATGTATGTAGATCTGAAAGTCAGGTTTGATGAAACAGAGTGCAAAAATAAAGAGCTTCTTGAAGAAAAAAAGCAACAGGAAGAGGAAAAACGTATTCTCCAGGACTTTGAGAAAAGGAATCTAGAACTACGAGAATTTTGTAATGAAATGAAGGACAAAACACCTGAACTGGAAAGAGAAAAGGAAATACTGGAAAAGCAATGTTCAGAGATGCAGTGTACGATCGATGGAATAAGGAAAAAACACTCAGAGCTCATGAATGTGATGTTGTTGAGGGTCACTGACTTGAGGAGCCAAATAACTGAAATGGAGGCACAAAAGCAACAACAAGAGAAAAAATGGGAACACCTGCTGCGTATGCATGAAGAATTCAAGAGAAAAATTGACCTGAAAGAAGAGATGTACAACAAAAAACAAGAGAGAAATACAGACATGCGCAAGGCAAATCGAATGGAGAAGGCAACATACAAAGACCCGAAAGAAAAGCCTAGAAAAGAACAAGCAGGATTAAAAGAAATGGAGCAAAGATGCAAGCAACTCGAGAAGCAAAATGCAGAAACAAACGATCAGTTGAGAACCCTTATCCTGGAGAAAAAAGCGCTCATGGAAAAATACCTGGAAACGAAGAAAAGAGGCTTCTGCTGGTTATTCAGATGATTTAGCCTCGTCTTCCTCCACCTGTGAGCCATCTTAATTGTCACCTCTCCTGTCCCCCTCTCCCTTTCTCTCCTAACACCTATTCCCTACCTTCTTAATCTTTTTTCTTTTTTTCACCCTCACCCCCAACCAGTCCAGCAGTTGACTGCCCCCTCCTGAGCCTGGTTCTGCTGGAGGTTTCTGCCCGTTAAAAGGCAGTTTTTCCTCCCCACTGTCGCCTAGTGCTTGCTCAGAGGGGATTGTTGGGGTTTTCTCTCCTCCTCCCCCCCCCCCCCCATTTACTTATTTGATTGTTTAAATTTTCTTTTGTTGTTTCTGTAGTTACTTGTTTTACTTTTTTCAACTTATGTAATAAAATAATAAACCAATTGAATTTATCCTTTGAGTATTTTTCATCTAATCTTTACAGAATTAAGCTCTGTCTTTTATTTGCTTCTTAAAACTCCATAAATGGTGAAGTAAAAACCCTGGGATATGGTTTAAAACATTGAAATAGACTAACCAACTAGTCTAAAACTAAGAAACACTTAAATATTACGTTAAATTGAAAACAGTTAAAAAGAAATATCCCTGTTCAAAAATGTCATGTGATAATCTCATTGGCTTATGGAGTGACTCCTGGAGGGGAAAAGGCGCACAAATGTGGCAGGCAGACGAAGAAAAAACAGCATAATGATACTTTTACGTTTTGAAATCTACAAAGGTTTGCACTGTGAGAATCAACTTGTGAGAACTGTGACTAATCTTCATGTGTGTGTTTAAAAAAAAATAATTAAAAAATAAAGTGTGTGGCGAGGGGCTAGTTATTCTGAGAAACCCTGCTGCAATAAATGAGGGACCACTGTATATACTTTCTCTTTGAGTCTCCAGGTGAAGGCACAGCCATGAAGTCGTCCACTAGACAGTCCCAGATGGCCGTCGCTACCTGGGGGATGATCTGGCTCACCGTGGACACCCCGACTCTGTAACTGAACACGATGGTCCTGAAGGAGTCCCTGGTGGCAAGGAACCTGGACAAAATTGTTCAAAATTAGTATTATGTGTACTGCAGTTACAAAATACATTATTCAACCTCCAAAATACTTTTGTGATGTCAGATTTAAATTACAAAACATAAATCTTACTTAAAACATTTTGTAATTATAAGGATAATTACATAATATATATTAGATATAATATAAAACAGTCAGTTGTGTTTTGTTTTAACTTTACCATATCATAATTTGATTGGTAGCAACTTTTACCACTACAGTGAGCCAATCACTCATAATTCCTAAACATGTCAATCAGGTAGGAATGAAGTAAGACATTAATAGAAATAAAGAGTTGTACGTAGCCCTTTCTTTGCATAAATCATTGCTAATATTTTTGAAAAATTAACCTGTGATAAGACAGCATATCAAGATAGAATATGCTGGATAGAACCATATAACTAAAGATGAACCAAACTGTTCACAGTTTTATCTAACTCTCAGTTTTAAGAAAGGCTGGTGACCCCTGTTATAGAGTCTGACAGCTGCAGGGATTATATACAAATATTCAACTATACCAGAATTAAACTAGGTCTAAAGAAAAAAAAAGGAGTGAGTATCACTACAAAGATTAACCCACAGTGGTCCTCATACCACAGTTTGATATCAGCAAACACCGAGAGCATACACTGATATGACACCACAGCCATGCTATCAATGCAAACACTGATAACATAGCGTAAATCGAATTAAATCGGAACTTGATGAGACCTTTTGAGTAGGGCTGGGCGATATGGCCTAAAATCCATATCGCGATATAATTTGAAGCATGTGCAGTAACGATATATATCACGATATATATTCTTTTCCTCTGTATAACGTATTTCCACACAAAAAATCCTTTAATTTTCTCCAAAATCGAGAGTGTGCCGTATGTATGAATTCTGGTTGTGCTTACTGACCTCGAACCGATTTCTGCGTGCAGAAATCTGTTAAAAAATGTTTTAGTACAACGTTGGTAATCCGCACTGCTTGATGGATTGTCAGAGCATTACGGCTGCCGTAGTGAGGAGCTTCACGGAGTAATCTGGGTCCAAAACTCCGTTCATATCAGGTCCCAAAGTCAAACGAACACTAAGAGTTAAAAACGGTCTAAATTCTTTCATCTTTAATTAAATCACCTGCGTTGCTGATTTATCAGGTGTTACAATTAAGTTTAACATCCATGAAAACAGAATTTATTAAATTTAACAGAGTTAGAAGTTAACAGGAAGTTAGCTCGCTAGTTTACACCTAAACATTTCATACCATGTTCTGACAGAGACTTTCATCCAGTGGCTTCCTCATTGAGATCAGATTTACGGTTTTCTCACAAATGCCATCAAAGCGCAGCCTCCTCCCTCTCTGTCCCCCATAGATAACCATTCTAAAACTGCTCTCAATTTTCAGCTCAAATTTAACATCGAAGGGTGTCTTTACACTGTCACCACATCAGTATAATACACTCTACAGGCATGAAAATTTAATATGTTGTAGTCTGGAAGTTCCTGCCACTCACAGTTTTCTCTTGGGAAGCATTTGTTTTTTGGCATCTAACTCCTTCAAAACCGTTCAGCTTAGAAAAACCATTCAAACACCGTTAGATTCCTCTTCTTTTGGACATGACTGCTTCTACTTTTCTCATTTTAACATTTATATTTTTAAAATTATTCAACTTTTTTCAACAAAAATTTCCCATGTATTTCAATGGGGAGACCCTTCAAATTCTCATTCAACTTCCTCCTCTTTAAACTGTATCTACTTCCACATACATTGTCATAGAGCCACCATTCAAACTTTAAAACGAAGACAAGACATTCAACTATTCAACTTGTATTTATCTTTTCAATATCTATTATACTTTTTCTTCAGTTCCAGTTTAAGTTTCATGATGTTTTTTCACCCGTTTCAGAGTTTATAATGGGTGTGTATGGGACGGAATGTTGGGGCTAGAGTGAGACAGCTCAACTGCTAGAGTGAGAGGAGCAAAAAAATTAATCTTAAAATCTTTTTTAAAACTGCTGCTGTGTCCGCAGCGTTTGCTCTACAGGTATGATTTTACCCTCAAAACGTAGCCATCGCTGTCCTCTTTCATCCAATGTGTTTACTATTGTACTAGGTGTTATGGTTCTTTCATAAATGTCACCAATGCACAGCCTCCTCCCTCCAACTCTTCCATAGACTCTAATGTTAAAATCGCTCAGAAGGTTGGTTTGAAAATCAGAAGAGCATGGTGTCTTTCCACTGTCACCACGTCCATATAATAAACTCCACAGGCATGAAAACTGAGAATTCAGTAGACTAGAAGCTGCTGTCGCTCACGGTGAAAGAATTTCGTCAATACGACTTTTACTTTTCATTTGGAACGATTTGTTTCGGCCTGACTTTTCTGTTCATTTTAAGGAGCAAAAGTGAGGTGCATGTCTGTGTCGTGTGTATGGAGCCACTGGGTGCAGTCACTATAGCAACCAGGCTCACACCTGCCTGCTTAACGAGCTCTCTCTCTCACTCTGCCAAGATTCATCTTAAACACTTCTCTTTCAACTGCTGCTGTGTCCACAGTGTTACAGCCATCATTTTACCCTCAAAACGTCGCCATCGTTGTTCTCTTTCCAACACCGTGTCTTTCAAAGCTCAGACTTTTAAATTTTTTAAACTGTGTGGATCCAAGCGGAGGGATCACATTTTAGTCATTCAGTGATTCAAAGAATATTAACTTTAATATTTTTCAGATGTTTTCTTACTAAATTTTATTTGCTCATTTCTTAGGTTTTTCTAATTTACATTTAAAACATTTTCAGCTATTTTCAAACTTCCTCTCTGTGAATGTCAGCTTTTAGCACTTCAGCACTTTGGTTTTCAGGTGAAAATTTCTGTATTTTTCATCTCGTTCAACATTTTTAACTTAAATTCAGCAATTAATTCATTTCAGTGCATACATTCAGATTCAAGCATTCACACTGCAGTTTCTTCAGAAAATGCACTTTCTAGTTCCTGTTTGCCTTTCTCTGTGTCTGACCCCAACTGTGGTGTGTGTGCGTCCCATCCCCTCCTGCCACTCACAGGAGTTACTATAGCAACCAGCCCTGTCAGCTGAGTACTGATGACTCTCTAATTAAACCTAAAAAAAAACCCCAAAAAAAACAAACATCCCCATTCTGTCATGTGACAATCTGATTGATCTGATTGGCTTACGGAGTGATGATGTCACAAGCACATCTTTAATGTGCTTGTGACATCATCACTTTTGAAGTTCTGAAGTCCATAAATAGGGAACAGCAGCAATTCTAAAGCAGTTTGTTCGCAGCCTTCAAACGTTCGACAACAGATACATTTGGAAATATTTCTAAGCCTTTTCAGAGTCACTGTGCACAGGCTCCAATATGCGTCCACGAAAACGCAGACAAAGAAAAAAAGATAATGCTGCCTCTCCTTCGTGGTCTGGCCAGCCAATCTCTCCAGGAGAAATGACCATGGATGCTGTCTTATCAGTCCAAAGGGCATTACAGGAAAGTCAGAAGGAAAACTCTGACCTCCATTACAAAGTTAAACAAATTGAAGAAGAGAAGCTTCAACTAGAGGAGAAGTGCAGACAATTGGAAGCACGAAATAAAGACCTGGAAGGAAAACAGCAACGCCAGCCTGATATAAAAATGATAAATGAGGGCTGGGGAATGAAGTTTGGTCAAGGACGAAAGAAGTTTTTCTCCCGTTTTCTTTCGTCGGGACAGAGTGCTGAATTAAAAGAAACATCTGCCCAGCTTCAAGGAAAGAAAGCTACTATTGAGGAGATACAATGGGATCTCCAAAACATGGAGCAAAAGAATCAGGTGCTTCAAGGAAAACTCAATGAAGCTGAGAAAACAATTGAAAAAATCCGCCAACAGGAAGAAGAAAAACGTATTCTCCAGGACTTAGAGAGAAGGAATCTAGAACTGCGAGAACTTTGTAATGAAATGAAGGACAAAAAATCTGAACTGGAAAGAGAAAAGGAAATACAAATGCAGCACAAACTCAAAGCCATGAGGGAAATGT